TTTCTTTCGTCGCTTTTTTAGTGCTTTTCTTTCGTCACTTTTTTCAGTGCTTCTTTTGTCACTTTTCGGTGCTTTTCTTTCGTTGTTTTTCAGTACTTCTTTCGTCACTTTTTTCGGTGCTTCTTTCGTCGCTTTTTGGTGCTTTCTTTCGTTGCATTTCGGTGCTTTTCTTTCGTCATTTTTAAGCTATCTAGTAGTAATTTAAGTAAAATATCTTGTAATAATTTAATAAAAATATATAAAATCTTAAAACAAAAAAAAAGTAAAATAAATAAAAGGTTTCTTTTGAGTGAAGATATCTAGACGGATTCTTAATCAATTTTGATTAATTTTTTTTTATTTGAATTCTATAATTCATAAAATTCAAAAAAATTACATCGAATTTGATTAGGTATTCGTCAGGATATCTTCGTTCAAGTTGTAAGAATTTGGCACAACCTACATCTTATAAAAGTGTAGATTTTTTTAAAACTTCAAAGGTATCTTGACGAATACCTAACCAAATGCGATAATTTTTTTTATTTGAATTCTATCAATCTGTAGAATTCAAAAAAAAAATTTCATACTCAAATTTTTTAAGAATAGCACATGTATATGTGCTGCTTTCTATTAATATCGAATAGCACATATATATGTGCTATTTATACTTAGGGGGCTGCCAGAAATTACCTGATTTCAGTTTACTATGAAGGCTACACCTGACTAGATAGAATATACAAACCTGATAATCTAGATCAAAATGGATAACCCGTATCCATAACCAAAAATTTACGAAAGAAGCACCAAAGAAAAGAATTAAAAAGCAACGAAAAAAGCACCGAAAAAAGCGACAAAAGAAAAGCACCGAAAAAGCGACAAAGAAGCATCAAAAAAATGACGAAAGAAGCACCAAAAGAAAAGCACCAAAAAGTGCTGAAAGAAGCACTAAAAAACAACGAAAGAAGCACCGAAAAAAGTGACGAAAGAAAAGCACCGAAAAGCAACGAATGAAGTACTGAAAAACGACGAAAGAAAAGCACCGAAAAGCGACAAATAAAGTACCGAAAAACAACAAAGAAAAGCACCGAAAAGCGATAAAAGAAGCACCGAAAAAAGCGACGAAAGAAAAGCACCGAAAAAGCGACGAAAGAAGCACCAAAAAAACAACGAAAGAAGCACCGAAAGAAAAGCACCGAAAAGCGACAAATGAAATACCGAAAAATGATGAAAAAAGCACAAAAGAAGTACCGAAAAAAGCGACGAAAGAAAAGTACCGAAAATGACGTAAGAAAAGCACTGAAAAGCGACAAAAGAAGCACCGAAAAAAGCGACGAAAGAGGCACCAGCAAAGCGACGAAAGAAGCACTGAAAAACCGACGTGAAAAAAAGCAGCGTACCGAAAAAATTGTTTTTGTTTATCTTAAACATGATTGACTGTTTAGAATATTCTAGATTGCAGACCAGTGAAAATCTGTTGGTGCCACTTGGGTAGATACATCCAAACAGCCAACTTGTGGAGAACTTGATTGAGAGAGTAATCACTGGATTGCGTATATAAGTCCTAAACTAGTATTACAGTACTGGATTTGATTAGGAGAATGATACAATAATAACTAAAAACTGGAGTAGTAAGAGAAGTAGTGAACATAAGGACGGTCTGTGGTAAAGGATTGGCTTACCAGATTTGGAAGCACTTCTAGCACCTTGTATAGAAAACTAAAATTAGAAGATTCTAAATATAGAGTGAAGGTTCTTATCTAGGAAATGTGTAAATTCAAAATGGCTAAACTACACCAAGCTGGTAGTCTTAAAATAGTATGAAACAGGTATAATAGCATTACAAGGGCATACCAACTTTAGAACATCAACCAAGTTGTAAAATGCTCAAGTTGGAAGTAATCAAGTATGGAAATAACCTGTCTGGTTATGCAACATAGCCTATATCTAACCAACTATAGGAGTTTCTGTCTGAAAATAAGAACACAGTATGCAAGTACAAATAAATAATTATAAAAATCGTAAAGGCTAATACCTTGAAGAAAAAAAAAAAAGTCTAGAAGGGGCATTAGTAGATAACGGACAAGAAGACAATTAAAAATAATGAGTCCAGTATCTGAAGGGAATACCAACAACATCTACTACCAAATCAGAAAATAATCCTGTTACGAAGCTTTGATTACAATACGTATATTTGTGGCTTAAATAGAATATTAATAAGAATAGTTCGAAGTGCAAAAAAAAAAATCCTAACCATACATGAACAGAACACAGTTGGTTTAGGTAAGGGATTGGGTTATAGATAAAATAATCTAAGTCTTGTAATCTTCTAATATATAGTTTTGTATATAAATTCGAATAAAATCGTAAAACAGCATATTGTGTTTTAAAAAATAGAAGCAAATTATTTAAAAGTCAATATTTTTTGCTATATATCATATTAT